GATTACATTTTATATGAACTACCTGCGTGAAAATCTGTTTATTTCTTTGTTTTTGTTTTCTTTAGAATAAAGGACAATAAAAGAACGAACAATTTTGAAGAAAACGTATATGAACGTTGTATTTGAATATTCAAAGATCGGAAGTTGCAGAGAAACATAAAACCTTTCCACATGAGAGACGATTGCGAAAAGTTTCTATCTGAATAGAACATATGGTTGCATCTAAGCTGTTTCAACTATAAAACGATTAGACCCACTAGCCAGTCTAACTGCACTCTTAACTTTTTCAATCGAGCTACTTCTTTAAAGATCATATAGTTTTCTACCACTTGCATCCCTGAAGATGATCTTGAGAGAAGACGAAATTACTTGGGAAATTAAAATGAAAAAAATTTAAACGGCTATAGCACATTTCTCTCAACTTTTAACATCAATACACAGAACGTTATTCGTGGGTATGAATGTATTTTATTAAAAATCAGCAGACTTTATGTCTGTAATTTATTCAATCAGACATGTCTAAAAGAGAATTTGATACGTAAATACACAAATATATATATATATATATATATATATATATGTGTGTGTGTGTGTGTGTCAGCGACGAAATTGTTCGTACATCCATCAATTTCGTATATTCTCTGGCTGATGTCATTTCCCAGAATCTAATGCTCTTATGATGCCAGGTTTTTTATATGTTAATAAGCACAAAAAAAAAGAAATACAAAACTCAATTTTCAGAGTAATGGGTTAAATAAAATAAAATTTTTGGGTGAATTGAGCAAAATAGGAAAACAAAATTATTCGTATAGTATACAAAATTTTAAAAAAATTGAACCTATTTTCACAATGTTAATAGTCGATACAATGGCATCTCATCTTTATAACTTGCTACAATCGTTTACTAAAGGTTTTGATGAGATTTGAACAGGTTTTCCAAGGATTTTCTTCCATTCTTCAATGGTTACACCTTGTAATTCCTGAAGGTGTTTTGGTGATCGACGATTTATTCGAACTTTCAATTCTTGCCGAAGATTTCAATAGGATTCAAGTCTGAACTCATTGAAGCACATAACAGAATTGTAATCTTCTTTTACCGAAGCTACGCAGTCACTGATCTTGCCGGAAAAGAAATCGCCGATCAAGATGAAGATTTTGCGCTGATAGTTGTAGATTTTCATCCAGAATTTTGAAATAGTCTCCTGATTTCATTATTCCTCTTATCGCAATTAATTGTCTTCAATTACGAATTGAGCCTTCTTCGATACTGGCGTTTGTATACTTCTAGTATATAATATGTCAAAATTTCCCCATTTTCTGCCATGCGCCAATAGCTTAGGGGTAAGATCTCTGGCTGATGTCATATCGCTCGAGCTTCGATTCAAGCTTGAAGCAGTCGGACGATACATCGAAACAGGTTTGTGCGTGAATGAATATATATATATATATATATATATATATATATATATATATATATATATATATTTACCCATAAATATGCCATACGATAAAACTATATATATTGCTGCCATATATGGTCTGGAGCCCCTCGGGGTTCTTGATAAGATCCAGAGACGGATATGCAATATAATTGGCCCTGATTTGGCATCTCGTCTGCAGTCGCTCTCTCACAGACGCGTCGTCGCCTCTCTCTGTCTTTTTTACAAATACTTTCATGGTAATTGCTCCGATGAGCTGCAGGTTCCCAGACTTCGCGTATTTCAAGCGTACTCTCACCCTTTCACTGTTGAAACTGTTAAATGTAGCCACATCTTCTACTCCAATAGCTTTCCTTTCCCGAACATCTCGCCTGTGGAACTCCCTTCCCTATTCTTGTTTCCCTGATAGCTATAATCACCAACTATTTAAATGTAATGTCAATCGATATCTCCGGTTGCCTTGGTCTAACCACTATCCTTCTCCTCATTCTTTCCTCTATCATTCTTATCTGCTCTCGCTCCAAATCCTCTATAACCCCTTGCGTGTTATTGGCTTCCCGCCTTGCTAGGGGTGAAATTTTATATATATATATATATATATATATATATATATATATATATATATATATATCGGTAAAAATGGATATATCAGGGATATTGCAAATATGTAAAATTAAAAGTGAAAGTATCATCTACGAGTTCTTATTGGAGAATAATTAGTATCTACTCAATATCCTCCATCACAGAAGCGAGATGTGACGAGTCTCTCACCGCTCTATTGCTACCTCCATGGAAAATACTCGGACGAACAGCATTTCTTTTTTCCCCCAGGTTTAATCTTCCCGGCAAGCCCCCCCCCATGCCATTTACGTAGTAGCAAACCACAGATATTCCCTCCGTATTCCATTGACCTGTGGAATAGATAAGCAAGAAGTTTTTCCCCGGTCACAACAAACATTACCTGTTTATGTCTAGAGTTAACCGTAAGCTTCCCCTGCTATCTGTATAAACTATCCCAGAACTTAACCCTCTGTCTCACTTGGTCTTGCTACCTTGTACAGAGTGAACCTTTTAAAGACAAAATTATGATCGGCGTTCAAGCATGAAATAGCCTGTCGACGCTCGGTGTTGATGTCACTGTCCACACACACACAAATATATATATATATATATATATATATATATATATATATATATATATATATATATATATCACATCAACGCAAATGAATATGTTAGCTCTAACAAACTCACATAAACGCAACTAAATACGTTAGCTCTATCAGTGATATCGAGCGCTTTCCAATAAGTCGTGGATTCCAGGATTAAATCCGGTACCAGTAAATAACAAATGCCAAGATTGAATATAGGAAAATAAATGTATTAACGTAATAATACAAACTGGTAATGCATCTTAGTAGTTACAGGAATGCGGGTTAGTAGAAAAATATATATACAGTCTTTGTAATTGAGGCCGTAGATATCTCTATGTCTGGACTCGACTATAACTCTGGTTGAACACCCGATCTCGACGTATTGCTGTATTACTTCCTTACTAAGTCTACGTGCTCACTGACTGTGACTCCTGCTCGCCACTCTTGTTTGTTCTCCCAGCATTAGTATATGTATACTCTGGGTGAGTCCATTTGTGTAAAAAGGGGAGGACCCCTCAACATATGATATATAAATAATAGATATAAAATTGCATATATATAAATATATATATATATATATGTATGTATGTGTGTGTGTGTGTGTGTGTGTGTGATGGGCGAATTGTCGTCTAAATTACACAAAACTGAAACTAAAACTGGCACCTCATTGTAATATTTACGAACAAACATGTTGAAATACTAAAGAATAGATTTATTTAATAAAACCGTCAATGGCTTCAACAAAGACCTCCCGACGACTTCGGAATCTCCTGCAGCTCTTCTGAACGGTCTCATATTTTAAGTTGGTGAATACTGCCATAATCCTTGCCTTCAGTTCATCTTTCGGGTTACAAGGAGTTTTGTTATTCTAGCTCAACTGCGCCCCAATAATAATCAAGAGAGTTGCAGTCTGGGGAGTTAGGTGGCCGGCTATAAGGGGTGATATGGTCGCAGAAATGACTGGGTTCTGTATGTCATGATGCCGAGTCTTGTTGCCAGCCATAGCGTCTTCCAGCAGCTACCTTGACCCAGAGCAGCACCACCTCCTCAAGGCACTTGATGTAAGCCTCCATGTTGAATCTGACGCCTCATGGGAAGATGAATGGAGGTATAACGTCACCATCACTAGTGATCACTCCAAACACTATGTGGGCTGGATATATCATCCAACGCTTTTCCTCACATGGGCACTCTAACACCCAGAAAGCAGTACAACACGCCATTTCCAAATTTCTGGCAGAGTGTATTGCGTCATGGTGCTCTTTTTCTCACAGACGGTGCCTAACTGCGCCTACTGTAATATGCAGTCGATAAAATCAAAAACCAAAAACGCGGATACGCATAATAAAAAAATATAAAATGGCGGCAATTTACCCATGTAACCATATATATATATATATATATATATATATATGTGTGTGTGTGTGTGTGTGTGTGTGTGTGTGTGTGTGTATGTGTGTGTGTGTGTGTCTGTGTCTGTGAATCAAAACTTGTTTTTGACATTTAAATAATAATTAAGCAGGTTATTTGTAAGTAAGTTAACTGAGGAGTGTATATATTTTCCACAAAAATAGAAGTAGACATGTGAACATTTAATTTTACACAGACAAACACACGCACACACGCACACACGCACACGCACACATACACACACACACATATATGTATGTATATAAATATATATATATATATATATATATATACTGTGTGTATTTAGGCATTTTTTCATTAAGGCCTGTTTCATTAAATAATATATATCAGAGTTGATTTCGTGTTTCAGTGATAATGCTAAAAAGCTTATTCGACAATATGAAAGGAATTTACTTAAAATAAATAGACAAAACTTGTTTATATTATTCAATGAAACACGCATTAATATATATATATATATATATATATATATATATATATATATATATATATATATAGTTTATGGAAAACTAGGTAATCCGTATAGGTAAAGCTAAAGAGGATAATCCCATGATCTACAGTCCTTTAAAAGGGCTGTGGTGAAATAATTTATTACATGGAACCTTAATATATATATATATATATATATAGTGTATTGAGGCAGCAGATCATTATTTAAACACATTTTATTAAATATAACAGACAATGAATTTCTATTATGTGTGATCATGTGCTGTTATAAAGTGCGAATGCTTGCTTTAAATTTTGGTGAAAATAAAGACAAATCAAGTAATGGTATTGTTGCTGGTATCAACGCCATCACTTGATAAGGCACAAGAAGTGTTGAAACTAAATAGCTATTTTTGCAGTGAAGTCATAACATAATTATGGTATAATTTTTTTAATAAATTCTATTTGGTCTACTCTGTTTTGAGCACTCGTTTAAGAATAATGTTTTTGTCATTGGAATTTTATACCGTCTACACCAATCCTATACTTATACATATATATATATATATATATATATATATATATATATATATGCGTGTGTGGGGGGATAGATAGATAGATAGATAGATAGATAGATAGATAGATAGATAGATAGATAGATAAACAGACATAAATAAGAAAACTTTTAGATAGATAGATAGATAGATAGATAGATAGATAGATAGATAGATAGATAGATAAACAGTCATAAATAAGAAAACTTTTAGATAGATAGATAGATAGATAGATAGATAGATAGATAGATAGATAGATCAATTGAGAGAAAGGTGGTAAAACTATAGAGGGAAAAAACTTAAAAGAAGACGAAAATGACTGACAGCGATAGGGCGAAAATATAAAAAAAATCAGTATATATTAAAATGCACGTAAAAATTCAATGTTTCATCATGAATACAGATAAAATTTTACACCGAAAAGCAATCATCATAAAGATTTCAGGGTTTTTTTTTTTATTACTAATGTGTTATAATCTTTATTTATTTTTTTCAAATGTCACACATAAACGAAAGCTTCCCTAATTCAAAATGTGTTACCAGTAATTTTTGATTATCAGACGACTATTATGTTTTTATTAACAGGATAATTACCAAACAAAAATAACGCATTCTACTTACCTCATAAAAAAAAGATGCATAGAAAAATGGCGAAACACACAGGGAACAAAATTCACAGAAAATGTAAACGAGACAAAAGTCACACGATTTTGATTCCCTTTAAAATGAAAAATGTATGAAAGCACATAAGAAAGAAAAAAAACTCAAACAAAGCGGGGGTGTAAAAGTCTTGATCAATGAGAGGTGCTTATGAAGTGAAAAACAGCTTCTCTTTAGGGAAATTGAATGTTTTCACATAATCAGACTTGCAATAATTCGGAATCTTCATCATTTGTTGTCACGAAGGTGCCAGAAGAAAGTGGGGGATTTAAAGCGAAACAATGAATAGATGAAAGCATGAAAAATAAGATAGGAGCATAGGCAAACCAACTGAATGAAAGGATGGACAGAATGCATCATGTTCGAGAAGGAAGAAAAGGAAGGCAAAAAAATAAGGCGAAATCCACAAAGAAAGAAAATGAAAGAAATAGAAAGATACAAATAAGACTGAAGAAAAGGAAGTAACGAAAGAAAAGAATGAGAGAGATACTGTAAGAATCATGAATGAAAAATAAAAGATTGCGTTTAAAGAATGAAAAAAAAATAAGTTAAGGAATAAATAGATGTAATAAAACAAACAAACGCAAATATTTTCTAATATAGTAATCCCGTCTTATCCCGTCTTCTCCCGTCCTGGGGAAGTCTATAAACAACAACCAACAGCAAGGCGTCTGATCAAGACGTTTTGAGGAACGTGGAACCACCTTTAAATTGCTGGGATTCCCAGCCTGACACGAAGTGGTAGTACCTGTTAGGGTCCCAGCTATGGGAAAATACTTGACCCCGCCCCCAAACTGGGATCAAAACACAATGAAAGTGTAAAAACAGGTGTTAAGAAAGAAAGAAATTTCCCGAGGAAAAATTATGACTAGCATTCATTATTACCAGCAATACATTTTTTAAAACAAATATTACCAGCAATACATTTTTGAAGGAAAAAAAAAATGACCAGCAATAGACTTTTGAAGGAAAAAAACTGTCAGCAATATTTTTTGAAGAAAAAATATTACCAGCAATAAACTTTTGAAGAAAAAAAATATTACAAGCAATACATTTTTTGAAAAAAATATTACCAACAATAAAAATCTTGTCGACATTAAACAACCCACTGAAGTTGAAATGACATAAACAAGGAACAAATAAACGAAGACCTGTCTTATTCGCAGGTGATATATTTCAAGACATCGATGTGACAAATAAAATATTCCTTCTTACTGTTTGATCTTACGGTAGTGTACAGATTTGGGCCCTTCGACGTGATGTAACAGTTGGCAAGCTGGTTTCGCTAGGTCAATTTCAACTGATTAGCGAGTTCGATCCTCATTGTGTCTTCCCTACACTCAAATTGCACCACAATAATAATCTATTAAATAAACTAATGCATCAATATATTTGACTACTTCGATGTAGTGTAATGGTCAGCAACCCTTTACTCGTTAAATCATTTACGACCCTCACTGAGTGCTCTATATCACAGGTCAGGTACCTTTTGCTAACTCTGTCCCGAGTTAGGGCTTTAAAATCATTCAGTGTGCCAACAGCATACGTATTTTTTATATAAAACAAGGTCAATATTCTTGTTCTACAATATATTTTATATAGTAATGTATAGTATATATACTTTAGTATATAATAAATTTGAACCAGCTAAATATCTTCTTTGCGTTGTAGTAATTGGTTCGGACTTCACAATGTCATTTGCGGCTGCGTGCCATTGGAAATTGCTTGTCGTGCCACGTACTGTTGATAACATTACTTTTCGGTATAGGGAAAGTTTGTTACTTCATGTGAAGGCAAAGTTTGTTACTTTTAGTTGAAGATGTTGTTTATTACTTTTATGTGGAGGCAACCTTTTATGGAAGCAACTTTTGGATGGAAAAACCTGTTAATTTTATGCGGAGGCAACGTTTGTTAGCATTACATGGAGACAACGTTCGTTCGTCTTACGTCGTTTTAACTTCTGTTACTTTTAGGTGGAGACATTTGTTACTTTTATGTCGGGGGTAACGTTTGCTTCATTTATGCAGATGTAAAGTTCTTTTTTTATTTATATGGTAGCAATGTTATAGTTTTATGTTGAGACACTTTCTGTTACTTTTAGGTGGGGAATTTTGTTACTTTTATGTCGGGGTTGCATTTGTTACATTTATGCGGATGTAAAATTTGTTACATTTATGTGGGGGCACCGATTGTTACTTATATGTGTCTGTTACTTTTATGCAAAGAAACTAATGTTTCTTTCATTTATTTGGAGGCAACAATTGTTTCTCTTATTTGGAGGCAATGCTTGTTACTTTTAAGTGGAGACAACATCGAACAAAATTATATTTTTTGAAACAAAATTACTTCAAATGGCGTCTCCCTTCAGGACATTTGTTATTATAGTTTTCCACAATTCCCTGTCCTTTTGTAGCTCTAATTAAATTTTGTCTCTTTGACATTTTTCCTAAACCCTGCTCCACTATCCATTCACCCAGGCTCGCCAGACAGGTTAGGCTTTGTTTTCTCTTTCTTGCCTTCAAACTGTCCTGTGAGTATCAAATTTTCCAAGCCCTCTTTCCTCTTTATATGCTCCAGAAATTTCATTTGTCTCTTCCTGATGTTAAGTATAAGTGTCCTTTCTGTTGCCATTATCTCCAAAACTTTCTTGTTTCTCACATGTTCGGTTCATGGCATTCTTAACATCCGTGTGTAGGGATGTGTTGCAATGGATATCGGTTTGGAGTGAGAATTCGGAGAGCCGATTTCGAATTCCAGTCGTGTTTGTTAGAGTGGATAAAGCAAAAATACCCTTGAGTTGAATAGCAGGACAGACTGGGTCCTTTAATCATGATTGGCATCCAGTCCACCACAGAAAAAAAAATGGCAAGCCACTGCGGGAAGAAACCTGCCTCGTTAGTCATGTATCGAAAGATATATGATCGCCCAAGCGTGTATAACGTACGGCACTTAACTAATTTAGACTCACACTTCAGTTCCTTCATGTCTGTTCTTTATCTGTTAAGAATTCGTCCAGTATTCAGTGACATATAGGAGAACTGATATTACATAACAGTTCAGTAATCTTTTTCTTTGTTTCTAACGATATCTTTCTGCTTCTTAACATTTTGCTCAGCTTTTGGAAGGCAACTTCCGTCATCCCAATGCACCTTCGGATTTACGTGTCCTCTGTTAATATGCTTCCCAGATATCTAAATCGTTGTCCCTGTTTTATTTCGGTATCTCCAATCTGTAATTTGAAAGTTAGACTGTCCCTTTTGCTAACGACCGGACATTTCCTCTCCTTGACATTGATGTTTAATCCTTTCCTCTCGATTTCCTTCACTACCTTCTGTACGAGGTACAGTAATTTCAATTCGGTGTTTGCTATCGACACTGTTTCATCTGCATATACGATGTTGTTATGATTGTGGCTGCCAATAACGAATAGGAATTCTAATTCTCTCAGAATGAGATTCGAGCTCAAGAAAAGCACATCCATTTGTTTTGCCTTGAATAATATTTATTGACCTATAAAACAGCTGCAAATTCGCTTTCGATGGCGTGAAAGAGGTCAGCGCATGACCTAGCACTTATTAAAAACTGCGATGAGACAGTTCATTTCTTTCTTAATATTTGTCATAGATATCATTTGAGAAGACCCCTTTTTTACCGCGGTTTCAGTTATCCAGCGTTCCATTAACAATCACAGAATAAATAAATATTTATTATTAACTAGCTTAAAAGCCGCCCTATCGGAAAGCATTTGATTGGGTCTTCGGCTTGTTCGTTATATAATCTCAGCTCTCCTGACTGCCGCTGATCTAGATTTTCATCTGCACGGGACTTGCTTTTCCTCGCTGCAGCATTGGCTCTTTTGATTGCAATCTGGTCCTCTGTTGACTAAGATGCTTTTTTTTTGTTTTTTTGCGTGGCATACTGTTGCCGTATGCGATAGGCAACAATAAACTACAGAAGAACTGATCGCCGCAATTAAGTATTCCATTAATATTTAAGCTTAACTTTTAAATGTTCAACGATAATTCTTCTGCCGCTATTTAATTTAAAGATAGTTTGATGCACGTCGGTCCTTACTTTCCCTACACACAATCATTTTATTTCTTGGATGACTTTCGCTGGATTTCGCAGTTAATTTCACTTATCCCCAAATGTATTTTCAAGTTATAAAAATTGCTATCGTGCAAAGAGATTCGTCGCAAAAATCATGTTAAAAACAACCGCCGAAAAATTCACAGTAATGAATAATTGGGAATCCAAAATTTCAGGTTTGCGGGTCAGGATCTGGCCGGAATGTTTTTAATTTGCTCACGGAGTCGGCCTGATTCCAAAATGGTTTGATATGTTGGCTTGCGGCCTCTAGGAGTAAAGTTGAAAACATGAACAATTTTATTTTGAAACACTGTAATTTGAAAAAAGTATTATTTTTCCATTTGAACATGTGCTATTGAAAGTTAGAGAGTTGTATCCCTTTAATAGTTTTTATCCGTAGAAGCCAATATGGCGGAATGGTTTTTACCTGTAGAAGCCAATATGGCGGAATAGTTTTTATCTGTAGAAGCCAATATGGCGGAATCCGAAAGCAATCGCAGTAATGAAAAATTGCGAATTCAAAATTTCAGGGTTACGGGCCCGGAATGTTTTTAATTTGCTCACGGAGTCGACCTGATTCTAAAATATTATGGGCTATGGCCTCTAGGAGTAAAGTTGAAAAAAGTGTGACACACTGACATTCGCATTTATTTATATAGATAAATGTCGCGTGGCGAAAAACAGTCATGCTGGAAATTCTGATATTCTACAGAAAAATCATAATTCGTATTCTTTAAATAAAAAGGGGCACGCATCTTATTTAATAAGGAAAGAAAGAACTCAACTTACGCCGAGGTTTGCTAAGATCGACTGTAGATGTTATTTAATATTTATTCCAGTAATATATTGTAATAATCGTTGTTTCTATTTTTATTAGTTAATGTTAGCATCCAGACTTAGGGCCAGATCACATTGAAGCACTGTTAATCTTTCCTACCACCGAAGTTAGGCAAACTTGAGCCTGGTCAATACCTAGATGGGTGACTGTAAGCTTAGATGTATTGGATAAAGGCTCAGAATGAGAAATTGGAGAGCCGATTTCGAATACCAGTGGCGGTCGTTATATTCAAGCGTATCACATCTGCCCCTACCAACACTCATTCGGCAAGCGACTTCGAGTAATGGTCCATTCCCCATCCCTTGAATCTGGGGAAGACATGCACCCAACAAATAGCCTTCACAATTTGAGAATAACAAGAATAAGAAGTTGGTATCCAGGTGTAGAAACATATATATATATATATATATCTACAGTTCGTTACTGTTCATGTTTTCAGTAACCCGTTAGGTGTCTGGGAGGAGATAAAAGAATCCTGTAGTGTTCGCATAAAATACAGCAATAATTTATTGTGATGCTTATTAGAAGTAAGGGTTATAAGAAACAGTGATATTTTAAACTTTAAAATACTTAAGGGAAACGCAAAAAAATGTACGTAGTTGAATACTTAAATACATCCTGCTGTCATGAAATAGTTTATGTTAATCGAGCACTTCACATGAGATATACAACAGTGAATGATTTAAAGCTTACCTGACAGCCCAGACCCAAAACATGAATAGCCATGACCCCAGTATTTCTGTGATAGAGCCTAAAACTAAATCGTAATCTATTGAGAGAAAACGTATTTATTTTTTATATATATATATATATATATATATATATATATATATATATATATATATTGAAAATCTCCATTTTCTTCAGTGTGCATAACCAAAGTATTCTCTATCAATCACAGATTTTGAATATTATACAGTGAAAATTTCAGATCAAAATTCAGCTGATAACTTACTCGTTTATAATCACTTATTTAATATTTTGCTTTTTTCGGCAATTGGAAATTCTGCAGATGAATATAATCAACAAAATGGACACCTACCTGGTTGATGATTGCTGAATAGGTTATGGAAGATCTATATTTATCTATGGACAAAACTATGAACACAACATATGTGTACTTACAGACAATTATAACCGCGACTCACTATAAACTGCTGTTTAAACATGACATATGACTCCATATGACTCCCAATAAAGGCAAGCATCAAGACGCTATATATGTTCTAATGGATCCAATTATAAACAGGATTTGTATAACTATAGACTCAAGTATAAAAATGTTGTATGTCTACCCATAACCTCAAGTATAAACACGACCTCTGTCTAACTTTGGGCCATTTGTTTGATTTGTTGTTTTTAAGGTTTATCAAACTTTTGTGGTTTGTTTGGAGTCAAAACATATTTTTGGATTTTAACAATAATTATTTTTTTCCAGTGAGTATTACATTAACATTTTTGAGAATGGCAGTAAATTTTCCAGATGCAAGTCCTACTATTTAACACATAGATTTATTCCTACTTTTTTTCGAATGGTCTTTAGGAAGTGAATGTTGATTACCCGATCGCAGCTCGGCTCTCCAATTACTCATTCTGAGTCGCTATCCATTACACCTCCCGCACATCCACAGAAACAGGAATTATTCGTCATTATCCTTCTTATGCAATTCACCCCAATCAAGGCGATAATGCCACTGAGACGCAACGGGATATTGGAAGAGAAAGATAATGAGAAAACCTTAGAAGCAACCGGAAACCCAATGCCGAAGAGAAAACAATGGATAAACCAATACTCCTGTTCAAAAGACCGGAGATAGGTGAACTTCTTTTAACTTTTGAGATCGAATATTTAGTGTGAAGTTCCAATAATTTAAACGATATTATTAAATAAAAATTCATCACCACTTTAGAAATTGCTTTATTTACAATAGGATATTAAACTTAGCAGATAAGGTTAGTTTGAGACTCAGGGAGAAATCTGTTTTTAAAGTCACTATTCAGACATGGCTTGGTCATCGATAAACTCTGGATCTGAGAGGTCAAACCATGTCAGATCTAATTATGGTTTTATTGTGCTTTTGACGAGGATTTTACGTTGGAAAAAACCAACATAGTTTATAAATTCAAGTGCCCTTTGCGAGATTGTATCTCCAACGAATTAAATAATATTTATGTTAGTCACACCACAAACTCGCTTTCCCGACGCTTGACACTACATTTGAATGAAAACTCTAACATTTTTAGGTATTTAAAACAACATGCCTGGCCGCAGACACAATTCCGTAAAATCCTCGTCGAAAACACAATTATACTTCAAAATGCATGGATTTTTTCTCCCGATGATAGCTATACTGGCCAAAACAAGTCGAGGAAGCTTATTTAAATAATAAAACAAAAAATATTAATATACAACACAGTGTGTTTGAAATTTATTTTTTCATGATTTTTTTATTTTCGAGATCACACACACACACACACACACACACACACACACACACACACACACACACACACATATATATATATATATATATATATATATATATATATATATATATATATGAAGAAATATAGTTTTTAAGGTATGCTATTGTTATGGTCTGGTTCCTTGTACCACGGTGATAGTCCGAGGTAGAACCAATAAAGAAGAACTCGAATGCGTATATGGAATAACACAGATATATTACAAACAGGAATAAATACAGAGAAGTAGAAAGTGTTAGTACAAACAATCAGGTTTAGTAGTAATTGTCTGAACGCGACTCTGTTCTGACTGCCTCTGACTGCCTCTGACTCGACTGACTGACTCGCTCGCTCTGATTGAATGACAGACTCCTGACGGACTTCTGACGGACCTCACTCCAGACTTCAGACTGAACTCTCTGCTTCCTCTTGAGGCGCAGTATTTATTACGTATGGAATAGTCCATTATGTTATTATGGATAAGGTTCCATAACAGCTATATTTATGGAATTAGGGATAGAGCGTATGTAAATATAAAAGTGAACATTGAAGTTAACACTCAGAGGCGACAGACTGTTTCATGCAAGACGCACACATCAGGCATGTCCAGCGAACCGCTTTCTTTATAGTCAACACTTTAACAAAATCGAACACAAAAGCTCATCGGTAGGCGTAGCCTGTTACCATTTCTCTGTCCCAACGTTTTAGAGTTTTATTTTCTCGTAAGAGTAATAGGTTTAAAGTATTTGAATATGAGGCGTTCTCATTTTTCAAGAAGTTTTTTTTTTCGCCTTGTTATTTCTTTTCATCAAAGGTTTCTAGGTCGTGTAAGTAAGACGAAGTGAAAATAAAGAAAATCTTTGGATGTTGCTTTTTAAAATACCATCTGAAAAGTGCAAAATGCTCAAGTAAATGGCACAAAAGAAGTATATATATATATATATATATATATATATATATATATATATATATATATATATATATATTTCTAAGTGCATTCCTTTTTTCAAATGAAGTGAATTATCGGCGCCGTTTCAAGAAATACGTGTTGCTCCTGCTTATTAGAACATTTAGTCTTTATTATGACGATATTCAATGGATGTCGGGTAACAACCATAACAGCCATTAACAAAGTGTTACAGCTTTTTCTTAGGGGAAACTAGACTTCTTTTTCTAAGTCTTGCCATTTTTGTTGCCTTTATTTTCTTTCATAATGTCGATTCATTGATTTGCTCAATGACTCTTTCTCATTATCATCTACAACTCTCTCCTTACTCTCCCCTTACTCTCTCCTTACTCTTCCTCACACTGACATGTTTCATTTATTTCTTGATTATTATTATTTACGATTTAGTTTTCTTTATATTTTTGTCCCATTTCAATGATTCTTTATAATTCCTAATCACACAGATTCCAAAAGCATTCTTGGCACCAACTTCAAACTCGCTTTCAGGCGGGTTTGTTTCGCCAACACGTACGGCGAAATGCTAGCAAAGAGTCAACATAATCACATAAGGATAATCAAAAATAAAATAAGAATATTAAAGAATCCGCGACAGAAGTAATTATAAAGCATAGACTTATATTTACTTATTTATTAGAAAATATTTTCAAAAAATGAAATTAAGGACAAGAATGTGAAAAAAAAAAAAAGAAGATTTCTAGTCATTTTTCTTGGTGATTTTGGCGGCCATTCGTTGTCGACACGTATGATGTAGTTTTTTTAATTTTTTTTCTTGCTGAGGTCGCGATTTTGATTTTTTTCTCTGTTGATAATTAAAGATTCGAAATCGTTTCTTTCCTCTTGTTGAAGATGAGAAGCTTCTGAGATCATACCCAGTTTTCTTTTCCCTACACTCTCTCTTCTTTATCTTCTCTCTCTCTCTCTCTCTCTCTCTGCGATCGTTTCTCTTTGTTTCCTTCATTTCTCTTTCTCTCCTGTTACTTTATATATTTCGCTTTGCCTTCTTTTCTTCTCTAAACAAATATTGTTCCTCTTAACTTCTTCATTAGTTTGTTTTTTTTACCTTAGAATCAAACTTACTTATAAAACGCAGACCAACCCCCGCAAATATATATATATATATATATATATATATATATATATATATATATATATATATTTGAATTTGTAGGTCTGATGAATTGGATCGTATTTACGATTCCAATGCAATAAATTACGACCATGGAATATTAGTGTTTAAGCCTTTTTTATATATATATATATATATATATATATATATATATATATATATATATATATATATATATATAATTAGTCGCATTGACATGAGAGTGTGACTCTGGATTTCACACCCTTGTGATAAGAGTCTGTCTGATGATCGCAAGGGCGTGAAACCCAGGATCAAAAACAAAATACCACCAAGTACGTTAGCTCTATCAGTGATATTGAGCGCTTTCCAGTAAGCACAGCGCATATACATAATATATAAAATATAAATAATATATGTGTATCCGTGTGCGTTTGTATTGTGTGTGTGTGTGTGTGTGTGTGTGTGTGTGTGTGTGTGTGTGTGTGTGTGTGTGTGTGTGTGTGTGTGCGAGCACGCAAGTGCGTATTTTTAGGCAGCATATCTTCATTCAAAATTGTTTCTTTGAATAATCTGGACATATTATGCTTATTTTAATTTTCTCGAATTTTCTTATCGACTTCTTAATGATGATATCAAATTCAATAAAGAAGGTACGTTAGTTTTTTTTTTTTTGTTTTTTTAATTTTTATTTTCATTTTCCCAAGTACTTTCAATCCCATATTCAGGGGTGAATTGCTAAGACAAAAAATTAATGTAACTTATAGTTGTTTGTTTTTTCTTTTTGTAAATACGCGTGAAACGTGCTCTGTTATAATTATTTGAAACACACACGAACGCGATCTTTTATAATTAATTTTAAATTAATTTAAAATTAACTGTTAAAGCTATGACGCTTTTACCGAGATTTTATTTAAGGGACGTAACTTTGTTTTGTATAGTTACGATTTTAAATTTAATAAACCGTGCAAAAATATTGTTCTTATAAAAATATTAAAACACTGTTACTATATTCATAACTAACATTATTCAGTTTTGGATGTTTGCTTTTTATATAGAGAGCCTCAAGAATTTGAAATTTTTATTTTTATTTTCATGGTGAAGTATACTTGTGTTATCAATTATTATGTTTCTGAATTGTAACGTTGCACAGGATTGTGTCTTTAAATGCAAGGCAATAGAGCTTGTATACGATATCTGTAGCGTAAGTCTCCTTGATAATGTTGTTGTCGAGTAACCAACATATATTTACTTTTTGTCAGATATACAACTTCCCAAAGGACATTTAAATTTATTTACATTATTGCTCTTTGGAAAATACTAGAAGACAGAGAAGAGTTATTGTGGATGATTAAATGGGTTGTATTAAATTTAGTATAGTATATAATTAGTTTTGTTTTTTACTGGCATCATTCAAGAATATGTCTGTGGTTATGTGTTTTTTTTAGGATTTTTTCATATTGTTTGTAGTTAGAATTTATTTGATTGCGATATAGTTAGTTGATATCTTTAGGGTTACTCAGTAAATATCATGTTCTTTTTTAGTTATGTTAATATTTATAAATCTTAAATCTTCACGCTTGCAGTGTGGCTATGAAAGTGAGATTTGGAAATTTAGAATATTTTATAAAAATGGCTGCCATTTCCATTTACATCTGCGCAGGACAAATTGAATTTCATCATAACCGCACAGATTGACATTCTTCCCATTCAGTAAATAAACATTCAGAAGTATTTATTTAAGATATCGATAAAACGTGAAGAGGCTAATAATGGGAGATGCAATGTAATCGTTACTGTGAATGGAAATTTTGATGTATTTGTTTAATAAATTAATTGTAGACGCTGTAGTAAAAAATATTATTTTGTATTTCCTTCAAAACGGCTTCTCTTCCAGAAAAAAGAATTTCTTTTTTTATTGACGCCTCACACGGAGTAAATATTTATCTTAGTTTGAAACTAAATTAGATATTTGATTTACGAAATTGAATCGTGTAAGTAAGCAAATTGTGTTCAGATGATTAAAAAAAAAAACTATAGAACGCTACTACACTAAATTGCGTTTCTACTGACGAATAGAGTATATTCCTTAAATTTAAATCAGAACCTTAGAATCGTAAAATAATTTCTAATCTTCAATAATGCTGTGAGTCTGGGACAATACCAAATCATCATCACAACATCTTCAGTTACCAACTCTGTTACTACTGTCACTGACTCTAAAACTCCAAAGAGCAACAAACACCCTCCATTACATTTTTTCTATTTCTTTTAATATCTCTAGCAGTTGTGTTGGAAACAAGTAACTGGTCATATTATTGCTTCTCTGGCAATCATTCTACTACAGCGATTTCAAATAAGATTACAGCTATGGTCCAAGGTTAGGACCAAGGAAGATCAACACAACACAAGAGTAGAAATAACGAAGGTATATTACACGAAATAATAAAGATGTGGAAGGTGTTAGCATGACTGTCAGACTGGTTTGGAGTGAACTACTATCGGCTTTACTCGATTCGGTATCTAGCCACCCCCCACGAGGGTTGCATGTGGCACAAGGCCGAGTTTAACGTGGGTTTCCCGAGCCCGTAGGCTCGGCCAAATAATGCCCGTAGAACCCGTATAAACGGGATCGGGTTGGTCCACTTCCCCGAACGAGACTCTGCCCTTCAGCGGTGCCTCGTCCGGGTTCCTTTCGCTCAGAGGCAGAGAGTTCGACCGTCCGAGCTCCTTGATTCAGTCGAGGGTTGCATGCGACACAAGGTCATTTTTATCGTGGGTTTTCGACCGTAGGCTCAGCCAATTCGTAAAAACGAGATCAGGGTAGGTCATTCACCCTGAACGAGATTCTGCCCTTCGGCGGAACCTCGTCCGGGTTCCTTTCTGCTCAAAAGCAGAGAGGACCATCGTATCGGCTTGATTCGTCCCTCTCTCTTGAGAGGCGTAGTATACATAGTGTTAGGAAGAGTTCATTCTGTAGTTATAGGTAAGGACCCATGACAATTACAAGTAATAGTACAGAGGTGCACCTCCAAAACTATAGATGATCAGGCCTTCTGATTGACCTCTAACAACTCAAGCTTGTAATTGTCAATAACTCAAGGAGGAAACGTCACTTGGGACTAAATTTCACCCAATACTTCAAAGCGAAATTCATATATGAGTCGCATCGCTAAAGACTCTGTGAATATAGTCAGTTCCTTGTACCGCTCAAATAAGTACTTGATTCCACCTAGTATGATCTACCATTAAAAGAGCCAGATCAGACCGAAACTGGAGTACTGCTGCTATATCTGAACTAGAGATGGTCCTTCTTCACTTTCAAGTCTTGGCATCGTTCAAAACTGTTTACCCGGTCTTTTGGTTGATGAATTATTTTACACCCTAAAAGCCATTTCTACAGATGAAACTTTACAAACCTTTCGCTATTGTATCGCTATTTCTATGGATAGCACTCACACCATGTAATTTCCTTAGTCCCTCTAGTTCTAAATTTCACAGCTAAGACGTGCCATACTACGTGCAATATAGCGAACCACGGTCATTCATTTTGTATTTTATAGGTTCCACTCGAGCTGCGTCTTCCCACAAACCGCTGCTTTGTGGTACCAATACCCGAGATCGTGTATATATATATATATATATATATATATATTATATTAAATAATTTAAAATATTTTTTCGCTACACAGTTCTAACCATGTTTCAAAAATGGAAGCTAAAAGCCCCGAATTTAATTTTGTAATTTTTCAAAATTCGCTTGAGGATGAAATGGAACTAATGTCTTTAATTTAATTACAAAATTAAATTCGTGGCTTTTAGCTTCCATTTTTAAAACATGGTTAGAACTGTGTAGCGAAGAAAAACATATTTTAAATCAATTAATTTATAATAGTAATGCTCTGTAAATTACATTGAGCACTATTTTGTAAAAATAAAAATATCTATAAGAACACCGGATTATTATATATCTTACTGTTCTTTCTTTTTATTCACACACACACACACACACACACACACACACATATATATATATATATATATATATATATCTGGACTCTCTCGTATGCATGCATGTATGCATGTGCCATCCACAGAATGACTGTTTCGCTGTATCACCGCTCATCAGTGTGGCTAGATATCCGATTGCTTCAAGCCAGAATCGAAACACAACTGATTTGGCATCCGTCGGAGATTTTTTTTTTCCTGAGCTATCAGCTCCCGACAGAAAGTAAGACTATGGAGTAATGGATAGCGGCTCGGATTGAGAGATAGGAGAGCCGAATTCAAATTCGAGTCGAATCCATTCCATTTCATTTACTTACGTGCTAATACCCTTCGGAAAAGGTAAGAATCCTCTCCCCCATCAGCTATGGGTAAATAGCAGAACAGACCGGGCGGGTTCTATAGCCTTGGATGGCAACTGGTTTACCGCAGAAAGTAATGGAAACATACTGCGCGAAAATATCTGTCTCGTCAGTCATGTATCGAAAGATACATCATCACCTAAGTGTGTATCACGCATGACACATAACTGACTGAGATACACACACACACACACACACACACACACATACATATATATTTATATATATATATATATATATATCTGTATTTAGGCAGCAATCCTTCTTTCATGCACATTTCATTGAATCCGACAGACAAGAAGTTGTTTTTATTTAGTTTTTTATACAATTTCTGATGCGATCAAATAATTGTTTTTCTTTTCAAGTGATAAATTATATAAAAACTGCCCGAATGTCCTTTTTATCCGGGCACTTTCGGCTATACATTTAGCCATTTTTTAAGGATTAAATATTTTAACTGTTAAATAAGAAATAATTTGTTGCATTTAGGTTTTATAAAATATTTTCATGTGTTTTCAAAACACGGTCAAGATATTGTGTCCATGTTCATAGTTAATATTATTAAGTGTTGTTTTTTGCTTGTTTTTATTAATAAGGCTTCCATTATTTCTAGCCTTTTTTTGCATGTAGATGATGCTATTATATAAGTGTTGTCAGCAAGTATGTTACGAATAGTGTCTCCAATGAAATGCGATCTAACTGAGCTATTGTCAATAAGGTGTAGAGTAAGCCTGCGTGTCAAATATCTTGTAGTGTGGCCTATATAATTATTTACGAATTTTGATTGATCAGGAATACAGTTCCTTAATGGGAATTATATATATATATATATATATATATATATATATATATATATAAAAGAAACTGAGCCAACTTGACTTATTTCAATAAGTCTGAACAAGAAGTAAATGTAATATATTCTCACGGAAATTACACGTCATATCTTAGGCTGTTACACATTTTCAGTGTGTAAGCTGGGCATTTCACTCTGTTCTTACACCTGACCCACTGACTTCTACTTTATTTACCATCTTTACACTGACAGATATTTGGATTATATGTATTTTGATGATTAAATAAGGTACATGGGATAAATAAGGGAACATGTGAACAATTTTACGGTTAGATTGGCTAGATATCACGTGTACGTGTGTGTTTGTATGTTTGTTTGTGTAGGTGTCTGTTTGTGAATTAATCAATGTTAATTAAATCTATATAATAAATCCGAAAAACTGTGTCACATTTTTTTTTCAATTAAAGGGACACATCTCTTTCAATGGATTTATCTTCTTCTTCTATATGATAATTGCGAAAATGTCCTTGTGTCACACTTTTTCAATTAAAAGGACACAACTTTCTAAGTGAAAAATCTCATCTTCTATTAAAATAAATGCGAATGTCAGTGTATCACATTTTCTCAGATTTACTCCTAGAAGTTGTAGCTCTATATATCATACTATTTTGGAATCAGGTCGACTCCGTGAGCAAATCAAAAGATTCCGGACCTGATCCGGACTCGAAATCCTGAAATTTTGGATTTCCAAATATTCATTAGTGCGAGAGTTGTCGGTGTTTTTGTTTTTTTTTTACTTGATTTTTTGCGGCGAATTTTTTGTACGATAACGATTTTTATATCTTGGAAATAAACTTGGGAATAATTGAAATTAATTGCTAAATCCAGCTAAAGTCACCCATGAAATAAAAGTAATTGTTTGTACCGACACTAAGGGCTTACTTACATCAAATTGTATTTAAATTATAATGCCGGCAGAAGAATTATCGTTCAACTTTTAAAAGGTAAGCTTAAATATTGATGCAATAGTTATATGCAGCGATCAATTTTGAGTTCTTCTATAGTTTATTGTTGCCTATCGCATACGGTAGTAATATGCCTTGCAAAAAGAAATCTCTGTCAACAGAGGACCAGATTGCAATAAAAAAAAGCAGTGAGGAAAAGAAAATTCCGTGCAAATGAAAAACCCAGATCATATGGCAGTCAGAAGAGCTTCCAATGTTGAGAATATGCAAATACTTAGGGACTTTCAATTTCCTAAACAAGCAGAATGCCCAATCAAGAGCCTTCCGCAGGATCTCGCTGAAATGCCGCCTGATAAAGCGGCTTTTAAGCTAGTTAGCAATCAATTTCAATCCAATACACTCCGGAATATCCATTCTCATGACACACGAAAATTTCCCAGCAGATACGAACTTTTCTCAAAAATAAAAAAAATCCTAATAATGAAAACATAATTTATTTTAAAATCAATAATAACATAAATTTAATTAACAGACAATTTTATATCAATGAAAAATGAGAAATGAAACGAGTACGTTCACCATCGAGAGAATTAAAACAACCTCTATAAGATTAAATACTTGTAATCCGACATACAAAAAAGCTCAGTGAAGCAAACAACTGTGTTCAATCACGGACAATTAAATATAATGTAATTATGTACAAAATCTCTGTAGATAAAGCCATAAAATTGCGTACAAAATATTTAGATTTAAATAAATCATAGCGGTTATATGCCGCTAAACAAAAACAACCAGCCAAAAAACAGAGTTAACTTTTTTTTTAAAATAGAAACTCTGACCTAGAATTGAAGTGAAAGTGTAGTGAGTATGAATTAATAAAGCTCTCTTTATCCACTCCCTTTAAATCCGGGTGAGTTAAGGAAAAACACGGAAAGAATTTCGTGATCCTACGTGAAATTTTCTTTGAACCAATGAAAACCTTTCCTTCATAGAAATTAGCCATTGAGCCTAGGAGAAAAAAAAAGAAAAATAGCGAGCCTATGTGAAATCCTTATTTATATAAAATAAGGAAAACAATTAACAAGAGAAGATCGTCTGAAGTCATACGAAATGTTTCATTTCTGTTCACGCGCCCCACTTAAAACTTTCGCTAGTATCAAATTACTCTCCAATTATATTATCGGCCTTAACCAAGCAGTTCAAAGAACTTTATTTCAACAATCCAATAAAGCTAAGGAATAAAGGTTAAGGAGTACTTTTTATGCTTTTCTATAAATCTATTTTGTTAAGGTAGGATATTATGTTTCAATATTTTCAAATAGTTTTCTTGTGTTGTTTTCCTTGTAGTATTTATGTATTACAGGGGTTAAGTGAGTACATTCAGTTAAAATGTGTTTCACCGTGTGTGCACTTTGGCATGTTGTACATGATTCATCTTCATTTTTCAGAAAGAATCAATGGAAGAGGTATGTGTGGCGTATGCGGATTATGTTGAGGCCCACTTCTTTGAACACTTGGTAGAGAATGTTGCATTCTTGGTTCAATGTCATTGTTATCCCAACTACGATTACTCATGTTATCAGCATAGTCCCAGCACCTCATTATCTGTGCACTGGCTTCGGGAGGGAAGACATTTCAAGATAAAGTAATAATCACAAAAACACCTAGTGAATTAAGTTTATCTCCGTTCCTCTCAAAGAAAATATAATTTATTTTACGCAATAGGAACTTTTCACGAGTTGACGAGGTATCTTTATTTAAGAACATTTTCTCAACTTTTAAAGAAACACACTAATTCTTTATGGATCCTTTGACCTCCAATAATAATTATTACATGTTTGCTCCAAACAACACATTTTATGTTTATTTAGGTTCAGTTAATACTTCAGTTCAGTTTACTAGAGTATGTCTTTTGTAAACATGTGCATATTTTAAAAAAAAAATACGAATTATTTCTACATTCAAAATTTCTTTGCCATTCTTTGCCCAAATTTTCCCAGAAATTGACATGCTTCAAAGCTTTTTACTTTCAAGTTGGATGTCGAAAACAAAAGCGGAAATAACTATGTTGTGCGTAATTATAAATCTTGCTAGTTAAAACTTTTGTACACAGATTCGCGTAATGAGGGTATATTGCATCAACATTTAGATTAAAATTATAGAGATAAATGTTTGCAGAAATGTCTCTAAACCACATGCTTATCTATCTATCTATCTCTCTTTTGTTCTTATCTGTCTATCTCTCTGTCTTTTTATTTATCGTTTATTCATATCTATCTATCTATCTATCTATCTATCTATCTATCTATCATTTTTTCATATTTATCTTGTTTGTTCATATCTAGCTATCGTTTCTTCATATCTATCTATCTATCTACCTACCTACCTACCTACCTACCTACCTATCTATCTATCTATCTATCTATCTATCTATCTATCTATCTATCTTTTGTTCTCATCTGTATACATCGCTATCTTTTTATTTGTCGTTTATTCATATCTATCTATCTATCTATCTATCTATCTATCTATCATTTTTTTCATATCTATCTTGTTTGTTCATATCTATCTATCGTTTGTTCATATCTATCTATCTATCTATCTATCTATCTATCTATCATTTTTTCATATTTATCTTGTTTGTTCATATCTAGCTATCGTTTCTTCATATCTATCTATCTATCTATCTACCTACCTACCTACCTATCTATCTATCTATCTATCTATCTATCTATCTATCTATCTTTTGTTCTCATCTGTATACATCGCTATCTTTTTATTTGTCGTTTATTTATATCTATCTATCTATCTATCTATCTATGTACTAACTATATACAAGACCAACTAAGTATCTGTGTAACTATAGTAACCTGCTTTAAATTCTAAACATATTTTTCTCGGTTTCTCTTTATTTTACTTCTCCCTCATTTTCTCTTTCTTCTTTCTTTATATCCTCTTTATTACATGTTTCTTTTTTCTTTTATCTTCCTTTTGTCTTTTCATTCTTCCTCTTCTCTTTCTTTTTCTTTCTTCTTTTCTCTTTTTCTTTTCTTTTTCTTCCTTCTTCATTTTCTCTTTCTTTGGCTTCTCCTTTCATTCTTTTATTTCTTTTCATCATGATTCTTTCTTTTTCAATGATCATTTATTCTCTCCAATTTTCCATTTCTCATCTCGATTTATCTCTTCTTCACCTTTTTTGTTCTATTCCTGTTATTTTTTTATTTTCTCCTTCTTCTTCTTCTTCTTCATTCTATTTACGATGAATCTTATAGTTTTTCAACGTTTTCTTCCGTTTCTACTCGACTTGCTGTTTATCTATCTATCTATCTATCTATCTATCTATCTATCTATCTATCCACTCAGCCACGCTACCGCATACCAAGCGAACAATGTCTCTGTTTAACTATCATAATTTGCTTTAAATTCTAACATAATTTTCTCTCGCTTATATTGTCTTTCTCTCTGCCTCTCTAATTTGCACCGACATGCAACTGCACATACGCACACTGCACCATTCGATGTCATTATAATCTAATTTGAAACTCATTATGAACTGTGAGGATTATTTCTGTTACGGTTAGATTTTTATTTTGCAGAAAGACAGAAAGGGGTGCTGCTGTATTGGGAAGGCGATTGTGGGGCCAATTGCGTGCTACTCTCTAATTACAGGTCGATTTTTAGCCAAAGATTTGACATTCCTACACTCATTAAAATTCCCGTTGTTGCAGACGGCTTTCATCACCCAACTTATATCCAAACATGTATTGAAATGATAATAAGAGAACAAATGATTCTAATGATGATAAAATATAATAATAATAATAATAATAATAATAACAATAATGATAATAATAATAATAATAATAACACCAATAATAATAATGGAAAAAGAACAAAAATAATGTGTATTAGTAAGAATAGCATGATTAACATCGATTAGAATGGAAAGAATGAAACTGTGAAAATCTTCAGTAAAATAATTAAAAAATAGAAATTTATAAAAAGATATTGATTATGAAACACTAAAATTAAAAAAAAACATCAATTTCCATCGTACGCTTCTGACACTATCAGTCATTTTTGTCTTCTTCCATGTTGCTTTTTTTCCTCTATATTTTAACAACTTTCTTGCAATTGATCGATCTATATAACTAAGACTTTTCATATACATGTCTGTTTCTTATCTCACTTTCTCTCTCTCTCTCTCTCTCTCTCTCTCTATATATATATATATATATATATATATATATATATATATATATATATCGATAATATTATATATATATATATATATATATATATATATATATATATATATATATAATTTCCAAGAGGATAGAATCCAGGTAGAATTCAATGTCCAGGACAGAGTAAGAATATAATATAAAAGGCTCAAAAATTAATATTCCATGGTTATAATTTATTACATTGGAATAGTAATTACGATCCAATTCACCAGAACAACAAATTCAAAAAGCTTTTTGAATTTGTAGGTCTGATGAATTGGATCGTAATTACGATTCCAATGTAATAAATTATAACCATGGAATGTTAGTGTTTGAGCTTTTTTTATATTACATATATATATATATATATATATATATATATATATATAGGAAAGAGCATGTTAGTTAAATAATCCGAAGTTCTTTAGTATATTTGTTTTTCTTTTTACAAAACAGTGCTCAGTATATATATACATTTATAAAAATACATATTCACATGTTTTCTCTAATTTTTGTGGAAACGGTCTTGCAAATAACTTGATTAAACGTTTTTGTGTGTTTGTCAGACTCAACTTTCGATGCAAGTTTTGATTTATAACTCTAAACCTAACCTATCTATCTATCTATCTATCTATCTATCTATCTATCTATCAGCTGGACTAATATCTAGCTAGCTAGCTACATAAATAGATAGAGAGCTTTGTTATTTTATACATATTCTGATAATAATGCCTATTATGCCGATACTGAGCGTTATTTATATAAGGTTATTTATATCTACCTGTGTTGATATTTATCTATTTTATTCATATCTATCTATCTATCTATCTATCTATCTATCTCTCTCTCTCTCTATCTATCTATCCATGTAATTGACCTACACCACCACTTCAACAAATAGATACATTTGTCGCTGCCATGTTCTTAGAAAATGATGCCATGCTTATATACCGGTTTATCATGACATAAAAAAACTAACTCAGCCACCTCCACCCTCTGACCTTATTTTTCTATTTAGTGTCGATATGACATTTAATTGGTTTATCGAGACATACCCAAAAGTCAATTTGAAAGTCCATTCAAGAACCATCAAGAGAACGGTGAATAAGTTTAAAAAGTGGGAAGAGTAGAGAGGGAAATTGGATCAGGAGACCACAACGGCAAGAGGGATCATCATTTCAACTTTCTTATTGCTTAAGCATAGAGACCACTAGTGCTGTAAAAACTTCGGAGAATTCTAGTAAGATAATCTTTAATCATTTCTAAGATAGATCGAGTCAGAACTTAATCTAAGTAATGGACAACTTTGCTGTTACACGATTTGGACAATTTTGCTGTTACCTCCGGTATGTGAGATCACATCAGAGAGGTCACGTAAAAAAACTCCTGTGAATGTAACCCTACCAGAAAGACCTGCGGGCTACCTGTGCGAGTTTTGTGACTAGGTTTGTAATTCTGTTGCGGAACGTCACAAGAACATGCAAGTGTCCAACATACGTAACATAGACAAACTTTATGTTTAACATGCGTGTAAAATTGAAACTGGACTTAAGAATAACATGCAGTCCCATAGCGGAGCGTTAGTTTGACAAAATATGATGAAATTAATAAAAAAAATATAGATGAAAATCACACAAAAATCCTACCAAGTTAAGAGATGGTTTTGTTCTGAAATAAGTGACATCATGCCCCCATTCACATAAATATTGTAGTAAATACTGTATGTTGGTCTATAAGTGGAAATTCATCTCCAGCTGTGCTGGTTAAACTCTCCCTCTGGGAAGAGAGAATCTCAAGACGAGGCTATGTCGAAGGGCAGAGTCTCGTCTCGGGAAAAAAGCTACCCGATCCCGTTTTATACGGGGAATTTTTGACCGGGCCTACGGGCTCGGTTATTCCACATTAAATTCGGGCTTGTGGTGCATCTGACCACATGGAACGATTGGTAGATATCCTGCAGGTGGAGATTCATCGTGAAATTCACTTGACTCACTTCTATCAGTTGACTACTACTTCTACGCGCCGCTGGCGAATCTTATATGCGTTGTTCGTGTCCTAAGTATTATCGTTCATTACCAACCTTCGTCTGATTTTTCTATTCAGAAACCTTCCATATGTTACAACAACAACAATAATAACAATAATAAAAATAATAATACTAATAATTATTATTAATAATAATAATAATAATAATAATAATAGTAATAATAATAATAGATAAATAAATTAGTCTACTAATGAATAAGGTTTCCTTAAAACTTTATCTCTATTTGCCTAATCTATATTGCTGGTTTATGGTAATGGCAGGGTTGCTGGTTTTCAAAATTTAGGTAACCCGCACTCGAAGAAATGTCGTAAGAATTAATCAGACCAATGAACGTATGGCATTTAATAATTATGAAATCAAGAAGCTGGCCAAAAAGATTTCGCCGATAGTGTATACTTAACAAATTATATCTATATGTCAATATATATTAAATAAAATGAGATAATGATTAATCTATTGAACTTTAGTTAATTTACGAAATATTATAGCCCCACTTATCAACCAAGCCCAGATAACAGAATTATTCTAATATTTTTATTATAATAAATCGTAAGAACATTTTACATCGCTGCACAAAAAACTTCCATGTTTCAGCACTAAGATGGCATTTCTACAGGCGAAAGTAGATAACGTGAGATAAAAATGATTTACTAGGTAAATTGAAAAAAAATCTTTACATTTTTTCGTAGTTAAATGAGGGTCATAAGGTCAGATTATATATATATATATATATATATATATATATATATATATATAACATATGCACATATGCACACACACACACACACATATATATATATATATATATATATATATATATATATATATATATATATATATATTAAGGCATTAAAACTAAATGTAGTATTGTAGGCCATGATAAGTTTAAAATAAAACACAACAGTCGACTGGTTTCGTCCTCTCGTCAGAACTGTTAACGGGGAATTTAGATTATATATATATATTTTTTTCTTTTCCTTCCCTGTCCATTCATTCATGTCACCCATGACAGACTTTTTCTTTTCCTCATAATCTAAATTCCCGTTAACAGTTCTGACGAGAGGGGACGAAACCGGTCGACTGTTGTGTTTTATTTTAAACTTATCATGGCCTACAATACTACATTTCTAGTTTTTAATGCCTTAATACGCTTTTGTACCGTTTCAAACCTATTTAAATATATATATATATGAAGAAATATAGTCTTAAGATGAGTTATATTTATGGGATAAAGTGCTCAATATCAGAGATAGAGCGTGTGTAAATATAAAAGTGAACATTGAAATCAACCCTTAGAGGCGACAGTCTGTTTCATGCTATATGCAATCGTCAGGCCACGAGTGCCTGAGGATTGCATATAGCATGAGACAGACTGTCGCCTACTGTTATATATATATATATATATATATATATATATATATATATATATATATATATATATATATATATATATATATATATATATATATATATATATATTCGGATCTTTTAAGGTTTTCTTCTTGATACATTATTACAATGCATTGTAGTTTCCATTGGGCTCTCTCTATATTAATATCCTCCTTGAAATTATCCCTAGCAGTCGCAAATTTGTAATTGTATATATATATATATATATGTTATATATTGTTATTCTGTTTATGAGTAAAATTAACCCTATCAGTAATACAGCGTACGTAAAAGTGGATATACTGAAGATTCTGTTTAGACATGAAATAAACTGTCGCCGCTCATGCTGATCTCTGTATATATATATATATATATATATATATATATATATATATATATATATATATATATATATATATATATATATCAGGGGGGAAAGGATATAACAAATTATGTAATTATTATAAATTTACTAATTTAAAAAATATGGTCTATCAATTAGTAAATTGGTAATATTTATGCTCCACAGAATTGTATTGAGCACTGTTTTATAAAAAATAATTAATAGGAACACTCTATAATAAATCCTGCTGTTCTTTCTCATTTTTATATATATATATATATATATATATATATATATATATATATATATATATATATATATATATATATATATATATCCTTTTCCTTTTTATTCCTTCTTAATTATTCTCTTTTTCACTTCTTATTTATTTGCTATTTCTCTTTTTCTTCTCTTCTTTCACTCTGAAGAATTTGTTTTCCGTATTAACATTTCGGTTTATTTTTTAATTTCGTTTATACTCTGTCTTTAAGCAAAAATAGCTCAATTCGTTCCCAAGTGTGCAAACATTACATTGTTTGCATGGTAATAAAATCGCTCGTCTATTCAGCACCGATGTTTGTGATCAACTAAATAAGAAATATTAATTTGATAGAAAACTTCCTAGAGGATCGTTTACAACAAATGTATCTTAGGAGGAACTTCTTTATTTTTTCTTTAAATTTATTCTTTTGTTAGTTATTGCTAAAATATTTCACCCTAGATCTCAAGTCGAACTCGGCTATGCGATTCGTCACCAAAAATCCAGGAAAATGGTTGGTTATTTGTGCTGTTCTCGAAAAGAATTTCTTGTCATGCACTATCTCTGTAAGAGTCACATCAGGAAAAGAAAAAACGAACTATGGCTGCCATATTTGGGCTGAGGTTTCCCAATGCTCACTTTCATAGCGCGACAGAGTACAAAAAACGTTTAGGCAGCCTTGTGGTCGAGGAGTTATTTCAAGTCTAAGCTATATATATATATATATATATATATATATATATATATATATATATATATATATATATATATTATGAAATGGACAAAGTCCGACAATTATTCTAAGACATTTTTATGTTTATACATTATTTTTATAGATACAAATATTTAAGTAAATGCTCTGTTTATAATAAACAGTATTAAACAACATTCACGATGTCCGAGAAATTTTCACAAAAATCCTACTAAGTGAAGAGATGGTTTTATTCTGTTACAATCATCATGGATGCACATACTATATATCAACCGTTTTCGGTCAACCTCTTGATTTTGAGGAGTCGTTTAAATATTGAAAGTCTATCAAAATCTAGGATAATTTTAACAAGACAGGCTTTCTGGTTTGAAGGATTTTCTCAAATATCCAATTATAACAATTGTTGTAGCATACCTACGGATGATAATTCGGAATAGGAGGAGGATTTTTTTCTCAATGTCATATTCGAAATGTGTTTGTCTCGTTTGCCAATCTACCATCACAATTTTCCGAAGAAAGTAAATGTGGGGTGACACTTTCGGACTGTTCATAACAACTACGACACCTACTGAGAAAGAGAAAGGTGAAGGAATTAAAATCAAAGTTGTCCAGAAAGCAATCATTTTTCTCACAGCTGACCTTAAAAGCAAAGGCGGCAATCGAAGCATCGTTCAGAGTTAGTCACACCAACATTAAGCAGAAGAAGTATTTTCAAGATGGAGAAATGATAAAAGAGTCATTAGTTAAAGCAGCTGACTCTTTGTTTCGGGACTTTAAAAACAAACCGGAGATATTATCTTCAGTCAAAGCTCTCCAGCTATCATGGAATAAAGTTACATGACGCTGTGAAGTAATGGCTGAGTATTTGAAACTGTCGCTGTGGAAGGACATTGCGGACTGTGAGTGCGTCTCATTTCGACTGGATGTATCTACAGATGTAATTGATATAGCTTAGCTGTGCACTTTTATTCGGATGGTGTTTACAGATATGACTGCAAAAGAGGAGCTGTTAACAATACTACCCACAAAGAGACACACGCGGTGTGAGGACATTCTTCAGCCTTTCAAAAACTTTATCGAGAAAACACAGCTCCCAGTTTGCCAGTTGGTGTCAGTCACCAC